AGGCAGGGTGTTTTTCTTGCTCCAGCAACTCCTGGATGATTACCCAAAATGTTTCATCGTGGGAGCAGACAACGTGGGATCCAAGCAGATGCAGCAAATCCGGATGTCCCTGCGCGGGAAGGCTGTTGTATTGATGGGGAAGAACACGATGATGCGCAAAGCCATTCGTGGTCATCTGGAGAACAACCCTGCCTTAGAGAAGTGGGTAACACTGCCTGAACGTACTCCTGGATCCTCTCTCGGGGCGGGGGGTGCGTTGTTTGAGAGGCGGAACTGAAGGCTGTCATCTCTCCTTCAGGCTGCTGCCTCACATCCGCGGGAACGTGGGCTTTGTCTTCACTAAGGAGGATCTGACTGAGATCCGGGACATGCTGCTGGCTAACAAGGTAGGGGAGACCGGCCCTCGCCGTGTCTCTGGGCTGGCAGATGTTAAAAACAAAACTGACACTGCGTGGGGAATGTCTGATTGTTAGGAGGCTCCAAGAGTTGGGAACTAGGCTCCTGCAGCCGTAGCCAAACTGATCAAGTCCAACTTCTGTCTCGCTTGTGTGTGTCTGTGTGACGTCCGTCCTGGAGGAACACTTCAGGAGGGAGTGGATGCCATCCCGGGAGATCTGAGCGGTGAGCATCAGCTGCTTGTTGTCCCTTTCTCCAGGTGCCAGCTGCCGCCCGTGCAGGTGCCATTGCTCCTTGTGATGTGACGGTGCCGGCCCAGAACACTGGTCTGGGACCTGAGAAGACCTCCTTTTTCCAGGCCTTGGGCATCACCACGAAGATCTCCAGAGGGACCATTGAAATTCTGGTTAGTGAGCAGCGAGCTGCTGCTGTTGAAGCTTCTCCTTGGCGGGAGGGCCCAGGTTCTGGCAGTTGGCAGGGCGGTGCAGATCAAAGCTCCCCTTGGAGCTGAAATCCGCTGTCAGCAGTCTGGCTGCTGCACTTGGGGAGCTGGGAGGGGGATGTCTGTCTGGTTGGCTCCAGTGTGCAGTGGGGGGGTTGTGTTCTCCGTCAGATCTGGGCTGCCTGCTGAAGCTGTGCTGGAGGAGCTCGCGGGCGAGCTGCCTGCAGGCAGTGCAGGACTAGCGCTCGCTGCCTTGCTCCTCGCCGAGATGTACCTGTTGCATGGGCCGGGGCTGTCTCAGCTTGGGGAGCTGAACTTGGGGCCTGCTTGTGCTGCGCTCGTTTGTCCTTCGGTTCCATCTCCTGCCTTTGTGTCCCGTTGCGTTGACGTGCTTGAGTGTTGTCGTGCGTATTCACTCCTTTTCCCATTGTTTCCTCAGAGCGACGTGCAGCTCATCAAGACGGGAGACAAAGTGGGTGCCATTTTTTGAACATGCTGAACATCTCCCCCTTCTCTTTCGGGCTGGTGATCCAGCAGGTCTTTGACAATGGCAGCATTTACAATCCCGAAGTGCTGGACATCACCGAGGAGACCTTGCACAAGCGCTTCCTGGAGGCGAGTACCATGACCCGTCTCCATTGTGCTCCACCTCTGGTGCCCCGGAAGGAGCTCTCGTCTCCAGTGTTTTCTGCGGAGTCCCACAGAGCCAGGAGCTCTCGCCTGTGCCCTCTGGGAACAGCCTGTTGGGGAGTACCTGCTGCAGGCGTCTGTCTGCAGCTACTGCAGAAAGCATTTGGGCCATTTAAATGGCCTGATTTCACGGGAGCCGCGTTCCGTGTGTGCGTGGCGCGCTGGCCCGCGTTACGCGGGGGTGTAGGAGCGTTGCTGTCACCTGCCGTGCTTTCTGCCTCGGGTTGTTTCTCAGCACCGTAACGAGTCTCTCTGCCCACAGGGTGTTCGTAATGTTGCCAGCGTCTGTCTGCAGATCGGGTACCCGACCATTGCTTCTGTGCCCCACTCCATCATCAACGGGTACAAGCGGGTCCTAGCCGTGGCGGTGGAGACGGACTACACCTTCCCGCTGGCTGAAAAGGTAACGGCTCCGCCTGATGTGCGCTAAGAGGGGCGTTTTCAACGCAGCCCGGCACTCCCACAGAAACACCTTGCCTCTCGCCAAGTTCGAAAGGACTCGGAGCCTTTGTGTGCCAAGGACCTGTCCTGGGAAGGGGCGCTTCCGTACGCTGTGTACGTGTGGCAGGAGGGAGCTGGGTTCTCTGGCTTTCCTTCATTCCTCCCTGGGGCTGCTGCACTTGGGTGTAGCTGAAACGCCTTTGGTACTTTGTACGGGGCAGTGATAAATTTTAAATTGAAAGTGGGGAGGTTTAGATTGGATATCAGGAAGAAGTTCTTCCCAGAGAGGGTGGGGAGGCACTGGGACAGGTTGCCCAGAGAAGCTGTGGATGCCCCATCCCTGGATGTCTTCAAGGCCAGGCGGGATGAGGCTTGGAGCAACCTGGTCTAGTGGAAGGTGTCCCTGCCCATGGCAGGGGGGTTGGAACTGGATGGTCTTTAAGGTCCCTCCCAACCCAAACCATTCTGGGATTCTGTGATAGGTGTCTGTTGGCTGGCAGCCTGCAGGGGCTGCCTTAACGATTGCAAAGGTTCAACTCTTCAAGTGTTTGTTTCCTTTGAGGTTACTGTTTATCCCCCCT